AAAGTTTTTGCAAGGGTCTACTTTCACCTAACACAAAATAAACACCCATAAAATCAAATGACAATATGCTTTAGGAATTGTGGAGTTAGCTCAACAGACAATAAAGTTCATGTATTTAGAGATTCTTATCAGATGTCAATGATTCGGGTTCTACAAAATCACCAGAAAATTTCTTAGCTGTTCTCCAAAACTCTTGAATTAGTCGAGATGCTCACAAGCAAACCCAAATTGGTTAAAGGAAAATGCAAACATTAACCCCATAACAAAGTGGATGAGGTAGACCACAAAGCAACTTGCTCTATACCATGGGACCCTAGCTTCACATGCCATGCCATATTCCATGTATATCATCATCATCATCCTCTTTATATATATATATATATATATATATATATCCAAAGAAAGAGACCGTTTAATTAATTTCCATATCTAAAAATCAAGTCCCACATTTGATTTTTTTTCTTTCTACTTCATCTTTCCATATTTAGAAACCAACTTCTTTCTTCTTCATCATCATTTCATCTTCTTAATTTCCTTCCTTCCATTTCATGCATTCATCCAAGTTGTTGCATGTGGACACAAGGTATTTGTAGTGCAGCCAAGGATGACTTGCCGGCAAGTACTAATTCAGCTTTCTTCGTACATCGTTCTGTGTTTTTTCTTCTTAAAACCTATAAAACCCGCACTCATAAGGTAAGAACTTTTGTTCATATTCTGTAAAATTTCACCAATCGATCCATTAATCTGTAAGCTTATAACCAGTAAAGACTCATAAACTTATGTTGTTTAATGAAGTTCAAACGTTAACACACTTCAACTGATTTTTGGTCTATGTACTGTCTTTCAATGCATTCATATAACATTTAGAAAGAAAGAAATGATTACTGATTAGTATTTATCGGCAAGTTGTCCTCGGCTACATATCTATCTGGTACTCACATGCTATAACTATGATGACTTTGATGCAATTGAGGTTGAAGAGAACACCGAGCTGCTTTTTCATGGTAAGTTGTTTTTTTCCCTTTTTCTTATGTTATTCTTTCTTGATACGTCATTATTAGAATTCATTTTTCGTTTATCCTGTATTTAAAATAATTCCGTTTGTAATGCGATCTCTTAATTAATCTAACAAGAACAATCCAAACCGATTTGGGTCTACAAACTGGTATTTATTTATGCTATTACCAGCCATAGATGACCGAGAGAATTAAAGCGATGGTCGTTAACGAAAAACATGCATGATAGATGAAAATGCGTCTCTGTGTTATGTTTAAACAGACTGATAGTTCTGAGTCAGATTCTACATTTCGATATTATTTAGCGAATTGTCGAGAATACATCATATCAATGACCAAAATAACTTATTTAAATGTGAATTTTTGGGTTTTTTTTAGATGGAAAAAACAATATCTAGAAATAAATAAACCGTTTTTTTTTTTGTTTTGAAATAAATATAACAATTTATACTTTAGATGATAGAAATAAATAGTGTTTTTGCCTGACAAATTATCGTTTTCTAGTTATTATAGACGGTGATTTAAATATTTGTTTAATATTGTAATTGAACATATTATAAATAATCACATTATAAAGCAAACACTGTATTTTTCACATGAATCATTTCACCATGTGAAATAACATATGCATTATTGGTTCTCATGATTTTCAACCTTTTGTGGTTTTCAATATATATGAGAACCGTGATAACCAATAACCTTGTGTTATTTCACATTGTCAAATGATGCATGTTAGAAAATTCAGTGTTGGTTTCACGATATGATTATTTTTAATATATAATTGAAACAACAGATGATTAATAATTCTCATGATTCTGTTCAATTTTTTTATAATTTTCATTTGATCAAGCTCATATATATATATATATA